CAGGATGATGTGACACCACAAGGCGGCAGTGTCTCCCCTCACACTGGTCTGTGAGGAAAGTAAAGGGCTGAACTTGCCTCTTATTGGCTTGTTGAGAATAGAGACTTTCTGGAATCCAGGGCAACTAGAGAAATACACCCAGTAAAGGCAGCCAACTCTTTAGAAGAGAAACCAGGTTGCAGCTTAGGCTCCAGCTCAGCGTCTTTTGTGGTATCAGTCAGGAAGAAGAATGAAGAAACTCCTGGGACAGTCTTTGTTCATTCTATGGCTTCAACTGGCCAGTGAGTTGGGGCTCTTGGTGATGGAAAGAGGGAGGTCAACGTTCAGAGCCCCACAGGACTAACGGGCTAGGTCTTCCTGTTGACTTGGAAATCTACAGGAATATTATGGAAGGAGAATCAAAATGCAATGACTGACTCACGTCCTTGTTTTTCTGTCTAGGTGTGAGCAGCCAGCAAATAGAACAGACTCTCCAGACCCTGAGTGTCCAGGAAGGTGAAAATGCCACCATGACCTGCAGTTATAAAGTTTCTATAACCAACTTGCAGTGGTATAAGCAAGATTTAGGGAGAAGCCTTACCCGCCTCATTTTAATACGTGCAAATGAGAAAAAGAAAGATAACGGGAGATTTCAAGTCACACTAGACGCCTCCACCCAAAACAGCTCCATGCTCATCACGGCCTCCGAGGTTGCAGACTCTGCTGTCTACTTCTGTGCAGTGGATGCACAGTGCTCCCCCAGCACCTGCAGCCCCGACACAAACTGCCAGAGCTGCCTCTTGCACGCCCCTCCACGGGCTGGGGTGGTGGTTATGCCTTCCCATGAGGGAGAGTCCTCAACACCTGGCAGCAGGATAGGGACATCCTCTCAAGTCTGTGACTTTGTGGAAGCACATTTTGTAGGGCTACCATTTAAGGAGGTTACAAATGAAGGCCCCACTCCTGGCCCAGGTTGGGGGGGACTTGACTGGATGATGGACTTGGTAAGGCTGCCTGGGGGCAAGGCCATACTCAGACATCCAAGGCCAGAACAACCAACCCAGCTCCAAGAATGCAGAAGCAGAGGCCAGAAGATGTTTCCGTGTCAAAGGCCAGCACCTGAGACGAGACATCCCAGCGGATAACTGATATATCTGGCGCCCCAAGTTAGAAAGTTGTGAAAACAGAGTATAAAAGGGCCTCTGCTCCTCCTGCACACGCACTTCCTTTGTCTCACTGCGCCTCCCCTCAGCAGCGTATCCCAATAAATCCTCCTTTTCTGTTCTCACTCTGTCTCTGGTGAATTCTTTCACCTCCACACCTCCAGCCTGACCCCTGATATTTCTCCCTGTTATACCTTGGACAAGGGCGAAGGGCAGGAGAGGGAGAACAGCACACTGCAAAGCCAGGCTCTGGCCGCAAGGCCCCGCGGTCAGGGCTGCCTTCCTTTTCCCTTCCTGAGCTGCAGAGTTGGGACGGATGAGCCCAAAGATCCCTCAAGCTCTGATTTTATCAGGAAATTAAACTAGACATGAGTAGAAGACGAGGAAGGGCATCCGCATCCCTGTATTGGGAGATCTCAGCTTGTACAGCCCCTTTACATGAGGCTGCGTCTAAGATGCTTGAGATGATCTTTGCCTTTCACTAATCCTGGTGCAGAAAACCCTAGAGTCACTGGGCATCCGAATGAGAAAGGGTCTTAGGGCTCCTTACACCAAACTTCTCACTTGACCGAGGAGCCTAGACTCTGTAATCTGAAGCAGGTCTGAATCTCACTCTGTCATGGACTAGGCGTCTCATTCCCAAGCCTCAGTTTCTCTGTGAGTCAAATAGCACTTCGAAGGAAGTCATGATGTTTTCTTCACTCAAATGAGAGATGTGTGTATGTTCTTCACTGCCAGGCCCTGAAATGTTGTTTTGTGGAAGTGGGTCTTTCTATTATCAAATAAATAACCATCCATTTGTTCTTAGATGATCTCTTGCAAGAAAATCAATGCCAGTATAGTTTAATTAATATGACTTTGATATGACTGAACATGTGTTTGTAGAGAAAACTAGGGCATTTGTATTTTGGGGCGTGTTTGATGGAGAAGGTGGGGGTGGGCAGGGCAGGGCTCAATAGGGCAGTGGTTCCCAAATGCTGACACCACCGTCTCATCGCCTCAGGCTCCTTTGAAGGTCTGGACTATCAGCCTCTACCTCAGTTTACTCAGTCTCTGATGATGTCATAAATATATATTTTTAGTGAATACAATTTCTGTTAAAGATTGGCTTATTGTCATGTTACAGGAAACTTAAATTATATATTTTTAACAAGGTGGAGTGTATTTCTCATACAGACAGAAGCTGTATCATGCAACGGCCATGGCTGGCGCGTGCAGGTTTCATCACGTTATGAGGGAGAGAGCGTTTTCCCCACAGACTGTCTCTCATCCTTAAGGTGTCATTTATTTATTTATTTAAATAATATGAGTTTATTTTTACATCATTTCATACATTTTTTTTCCAGCTCAATTGTAATCCCCGTGGGTTTCCCATCACTGAGTCAGTCACCCGTGTGCCATCACCACAGTCCAGCACACTTCCCTCAGTGTCATTTATTTTTATTTTTTAAAGAGTTATTTATTTATTCATATAGAACTGGGGTACAGGCCAGAGTTGCAGGGGCAGTGAGAGGATTCACCAGAGACAGAGTGGGGAGCAGAACAGGCAGATTAACGAAGTACATTACTGAGGGGAGCAGCGGGCAGGTCAGGTCAGCGTGCCATGTGGGTTACCTCCGGGGCAGGCGGGGATAGAACTCATACGGAAGTGGTTTCCGATTCTTAGTGCTGCGCTTTAACCCGCTGCTGCGCCACCAGGGAGGGCCAGTGTGTCATTTATTTTTATGCCTTCAAGAAAGTGCTGAGATCCAGCTGCTTTATATATCTCCCAAGCAGAAAGAAAACTTAAGGGGCAAACAGGTTCATGCTGGCCAAGTCAATCATTTCCAGAAACTTCACCCAACAGCTTACATTTCATTCTCTAGAATGTCTGTCCATCTGTGAGGGAGACAGATAGCAAGAATGCTTTTTATTTAAACATGTTATCACCCCCATGAAAGCAGAGCTCTGTTGGTAAGAAACAGGAGCTCATGGACATGTTAACAGCTGTAATGAACTGTTTCTGTTTAGGATTTATCAAAACTCATATATATATATATATATATATATATATTTAAGATTTATTTATTTGTGCATACAGAACTGGGGTACAGGCCCGAGGCTCAGGGGCGGTGAGAGGCTTCACCAGAGACAGAGTGGGGAGCAGAACAGGCAGATCGATGGACACTGCAGAGGGGAGCAACGGGATGGTCAGGAGAGGTCTGCCTCTCCATGTGGTCACCTCCAGGTCAGGCGGGAATCGAACTCCTGTGGAAGTGGCTTTAGCTTCTCAGTGCTGTGCTTTAACCCACTGTGCCACCAGGGAGGGCCCAAAACTCATATATTTTTAAAAATTTATATTCATTTTTGAAATATTATATCCAATCTAGCTCACAGTTATATTGTGTTTACCTCTTAGTAGCCTTCTGGAAGCCATCACTAGGCCCATATCCCAATTCACCTCCAGCAGCCTAATTAAAATCCCCGAATCCCCTGCTCCACTGCCCTCCACGTGCTTGACTCAGCCATCACTCCTCAGCTAGTCCCTTACATGATAGTCTCCGTGCAAATTTGACCCTTTCAATCACTGAACCCCATTTTCTCTTAGAAGGAAGAAAAATGTGGTAATAAGATCTACAAAACTGCATAAATTAGGATCTTGCTATCTCTCCAGGTTTGTTCCCCCAAAAGTTACCTCGTCCTCCACCTACATGAAAAGATATTTGTACCCACCAGACAGGTTCACTTATTAACTTACTCATTTTTCAGATCTTTTTTGAACAACTACTATGAGAGTTAAAGGTCTATATATTTCGAGAACTTGGCTAAGAGTCTAATAAGGGTAAATTTCTGATCCCAGGATCACTAGGTCTTCTTTGAAAAATAGGACACCCATGATTCTAATATCATGTAAGGTGATCTCGCCCCACACACTTCCACAGACAAGTTCAGTAGGAAAGGAGCTGAGAGAGTGCTTTCACAGGCCTGTGCATATTGATTCTTCTAGGACGAGAGGTCACCTAGTCAAAGGTAGGGGAGAGAAGGGAGAGCATCTGGGCTGAGGGGCTACTCCCCTGGCTGTAGGAACCAGTGGGGGAACATGTCCAGAAGATGTCTCAGATCATGCTTTTGACAAGCAGTATGCCCTAAAATGCTAAAACTAGCTCACGACTCCGTGTGAACAGACAGATGCTGATACTGGGGAGCCGGGATTCATAATTTTCTGCAGCTTAAAGTCAGAGGAATCTCCACCGTCTCAGCCTCAGGTGCCACGGTCGGGTCAACAGAGAAGTGTGAGGCGCTTCCTTCTGGGATCCCTACTGCGCAATCCCTGACACACGTTTCGCTTCTGCTCCACAACTAAACTCTCTTCTTGGGTAAACACCAAACCCAGAATTGGAAAGCAGGCTGCAGGGACAGAGGGAGACCACGAGAGGGCGCTGCTGCCTGCAGGTGGTGACGACATAAATTCACCTCCCTTTTTATAGCTGTTGCGTGCTCCTGCAGGGCAGTTTGTCTTGCTTAACATATGAACCAAGACATTCTAGAAGATTCCGTCAAAGGATCAGGACCTAGGGAAACAACTGTCTGGACTTGGGTGCATTCCCAAACTAAACCTGTCGCTGCCTTTTAGCCAGTCATGCTGTCGGCTTCCTGCGCAGCGTTAATAATTCTGCTGATGTTAAGTGAGTAGCATTGATTCCAAACTCCATATGTCCTATTCCTTGATTTTGGTGTAATCTTTAATATCCGCTAAAGCACTGCCAAGATAATAAAACCTTTTCTTTTTTTTTTTTTTTTAGGAAGGACCAGTGGAGACTCCGTGATCCAGACAGCAGGTCCCGTCATCCTATTAGAGGGGGGACCTCTGACCCTGAGCTGCACCTTCCAGTCCTCTTACCCCGCAACTTTCTTTTTCTGGTATGTCCAGCGTCCAAACATAGGGCTCGAGTTCCTCCTAAGAAGCTCATCAGAAAACACAAAGTTGGACAGCAGTGGTTTCCAGGCCTCTCACACTAACAAAACCTCCACCCTGCAGAAAACCTGGGTACAAGTGTCTGACTCGGCTGTGTACTTCTGCGCTGCTGAGGCACAGTGAGGGAGGCTGTGGGGGAAGCCTAGCGCAAACCTGGAGGGTGCAGGAGGGGCTGAGCAGAGCAGACTTGGGGGAGGGTACTCTTTTCCCTAGCAATGTTCTAGGCCATGGCCACCTCAGAGTCCTCCCAGCTCTTCAGTTTTTCATGAGAGAGAAATGCTAAATTACATATCTCTTAATTTAAATAAAATCTTTTTTACACAATAAATACAGCTATGATGTCTATAGGATGTGGAAGTTTCATTGCGTCTCTGGTTTTTCTAAGCACATTCATAACTTGAGCTCAAATGGAGAGCTCTTGGGGACAAGTTTCTCACTATATACATAAAACAGCCTCAACTCTGCTTTAGCTGAAGCAGAGTTAGTTTTAGTGGTTTCAAGAATTTCTACGGCATTCAAGGTAAAACTATGTGGTGAAGCTGAGAGTGAGGATAAAGTGACATGGGGTTATCCCCACTATGAGTGTTGAAAGTAGTGATTTATGAAAAACAATAGCACTGCAAACCTCAGCGAAGCTCGTTATAACAAATACATGTTCTCATGGATCTGCTAGAGAGGTGGAGCAGAAGTCCCAGGATTTAAGAGTCAAAGAGTTTACTGATTAGATGGAAAGGACACATGCCAGTGGAGTGTGAACTCTGCTGTGTTTGTACTGAGATTTCTGTTGTTTTTAAAAATGCTTTGCTTTCAAATTTGTGTGTTTTCAAGGTTCTTTATATTCCAAATCCCACCGTAATTCATGTGTGTGGTTTGAAAAACATGGACATTTTCAGAAATACACACACTGAGCTATGGCAGTAATTCTTATACATAAGCACTGAATAGAAATTTCTGAATTGGATTTTTCTTTTTTGAAAAGATTTATTTATTTATGCATACAAGGACCAGAGTACAGGCCAGAGGAGCAGGGGGTGAGAGGATTCACCAGAGACAGAGTGGGGAGCAGAATAAGCAGATCTACTGAAACATACTGCTGAGGGGAACAGAGGGAAGGTCAGGAGAAGTCTGCTGTGCCATGTGGGTCACCTCCCTGGCGGGGGATTGCAGACAACTCCACAGTGCTGCGCTTTAACCTGTTGTGCCACCAGGGAAGGACCCCCGAATTGGTTTTTATGCATACACATAATAGACATACACACCCATGATGCATGTATGTTTTTCCTTACTGTTACTTAACATGGTACACACAGTTGACAGACTATGAATCTGGAGGCAAGATGTGAAATCATTAACAACAAAATACTTCTCATGCCACTTCTATTGGATTATTTTATTGGTTTCCATGACTGGCAAGGCATAAACAAAGACTGAGACTTAACATTTGCCTTCCTGTTTGAGAGTCAAAACTCCATGGGTAATTTTCACCTTATTCTCTTGTGAGAGGAAGAGACATATATAAGACCAAAAGTTACATAACTCAGTGTAGTTCATGATAAATTATGTTGTATAAAATACTTACATTTCCCATCACAAAAGAATTAATTGAACATGCCTAAATTTTTTAAACAGTTTATTTTTACATCATTTTGTGCCTTTTTCCACCTCAGCTATAATCCCCGTGGACTTCCTATCACCAAATCACCCATGTGCCATCACCACAGTCCCACTTCCCCTCTCCCCCACTCCCCATTTCATCCCCATAAAATGTCTTGTTCCATTATTATTTCTCCCCCCCTACCCCCCCGCGCCCCAGTCCTTTATGCTCCTGCTATGAGTGAAACCATTTGGTATTTTTCTTTTTCTTTCTGGCTTATTTCACTGAGCAAAACATGCGTAAATTTTAACTCCCTTTATTTCATGTCCGATGAGTTATAATTAGACAAAACAGGTGCTCAGAATCTAGCATTTCCCACCTGACAGGAAGCACGTGACATGACACAGGTAGGCTTGTCCTATATCTGCCGACTCTGTTTCCTGTATGGGAGTAGAAGCCTCACACGGCCCAGTGATTCTGCCTATACCTCTTGAGCACAGGGTAGAGAATTGAGATAGAACAGAGGACACTTGACTCAAGGAAGAACACCGACATGCTGATCGCCCATGTGCTGAGAGCAGCCATAGCTGCTGTCTGTCTTGGTAAGGAGGGCAAGGCACAGGACAGACCTCCTCATGGTTCCCAAGGTTGTGGGGAAGAGCAGAACTTCACTGTTTGATCAGACTTAAAAGGAGGGTTAAAGGACAGTGGAACCAGACCCCTGGGTTTTCACACTTCATGCCTCATGGGTACAAATATGGGATTGGTCTTTCTTTTCTCTTCCCTGCAGGAAACAGTTGGACCCAGAAAGTAACTCAACCCCAGTCTATAGTTTCTGTGGTGGAGAAGGAGGCAGCAACCTTGCGCTGTGATTATGAAGTTAAAGGTTTTAATTATTATTTATTCTGGTACAAACAACCACCAGGTGGGCAAATGACTTTCCTTATTCATCAAAGCGCTTATAATGAACAAGGAGAAACAAAGGACCAGTATTCTCTGGACTTCAAGAGAAATGACAATTCCATCAACCTCACCATCACAGCTTCACAGCTGGGGGACTCGGCAGTGTATTTCTGTGCTCTGAGAGATACCACAGTGATGTGGGTGCCTTTGGGGCCCCCACAAAAACCTCAGCATGACTAGGGCCCTTGGGGGAGACTCCATCACAGCCAGGAAGAGGCAGGACTTGTCAGCATAGCTGGGGGTTTGATAAAGAAACCTCAGTTCAGTTCATAAGGAATGCCTGTATGGATGCTTCATTAAAAACATAGGTAACGACTCTCCCTGGTGGTACAGCGGGTTAAAGCACAGCACTAAGAAGCTAAAGCCACTTCAGCATGAGTCGATCCCCACTCTGGAGGTGATCCACATGGCACAGCAGACCTCTCCTGACCCGCCCGCTGCTCCCCTCAGCAGTGTATTTCGTCCATCTGCCTGTTCTGCTCCCCGCTCTGTCTATGGTGAAAACTCTCGCCACCCCTGAGCCTCTGGAATGTAACCCAGTTTTGTACACATAACTAAAAGAAATCTTAAAAAAGCAAAACAAAACAAAAACATAGGTATCTTCTTTTCTTTAGAGTAGAATAAGGTAGAATATGTAGCACATTAAAAGTTATGGAACAAAGCAGGGAAACACGAAAATCTATCAATCTTGTGTTGGCTTTATTGAGGTGGGAAATGATCTAATTATCTTTAGACCAAATAGGTGATTATGTTGATGAGTTGTTAAATCTCCAGAAGCATTTATTTTTATGTGAATGCTTTCATCTACTTTTAATAAAAATGTCTTTCATTGATAGTATCATTCCTCAATGATGAGAATGAATTTTTTAAGCTAGAATTTCCCCCATAATTATACTAATGATTTCTTGCACAACAGAATAGATTTGAAATGATTCTCAAATGATCTCTGTCAGGCTACTTTCTTTTGGTGATGTGATTATGATTTTTAATCTTTATGCATTTATTTTTAATTATACCATCTTGGGCTATTTAGTTCTAAACTTAACTTTCATATTTTAAAATTATACAGTGACATTCCTTCTTGTAATGTAGTTATTCAAACTTATTTTTTTCCTTTCAATTTCAATGTATGCACCTTTGAGAAACTCAAGCATATTTATTCATCAGTTCAGAGGTATGATGGGATGCTACTCAGCTACAAAAAGGAAAAAATCTTCTCGCTTGGGAAACGTGGGTGAACATGGAGTTAAAAAGAAAATCTTTGGATGATGACATGTAGGTGAAAGAATCACTGAACCAAGGTTGACCATAAGTTCATAAGTGGTGAAATGGAGTGATGGATACCTGGAATTTCATTATTCCATTCTGTATACCTTTGTATCCATTTGAAATTATCCTTAATACAACTAAAATGCAAAACTGTCGTCTTTTGGACCATATCCTCCATGGCAGTGTGACTTTTTACTTATTCTTTATCTGTGCTTCAATTTCTTCCTGTTTACATGTTACATATTTACATGTTTGTGTACACTTGTATATATTATATATTTATATACACATGAAGCTAAACTCCAAATATTGTCACTTTATTCAAATTTGCTTTGATATAATGTTGGTGAGAAACAAATGAATTCCAGTGGACAATGGATGAAAGGATGTTATTCAATAACCTGGTTCCCAAGGACATCTCACTGACCTTCAGTGAAGACTGAGTGTATATATGCTCCAATTAAGTTACATAAACACAGGCTCACATGTATGTCATTCTGCATGGCACCGTGACAGAGCAGAGGCCTGATCCGTGATGACTATGATCAATGCCAAGGGCTGACTTGGCTCCAGGGCCTGCATCAGACTCTCAATCATGCACTTTTTTCATAACATCAAGCTGCTCCTTGACATGTTTTCAGGAAGAAAACCAAAACTTACTGAAAAGACATCTTGCCACTGCCTGGAAAGTCACCCAAGGGAGGCCTAGATGTCCTTTGGTAAACACTCACATTCACAGCAGCCCACCCCTGTTGCACGCCCCCACCAGCCCCTTGACCAAGACTGGGAGGTGGCTGAGGTTTAACACAAAAAAGTTGTTCTTTTTATGGGCACAGACTAGGCCACTTTATTCCCCCAACTTAATAATTTAAGGTACATTTTCTTTGGTGTTGACAGAGCAAAGAAGAATTGCTCTAAGACATGATCAATATTCACACCAACCTTGAAAATGATTCCATGTCTGCCTTGCACACTATTGAAATAAATGCCCAGCCAAGTTCCATATATCAAGATAAAAGCTAACAATGAAGTGGCATTACCCCCCCAAAGCAATATCCAACAAATAGATAAGTTGTGAGACACTAAATCATCTCTACAGGTAATGCAAAGCCCCCCCCCCCATATATTTAAGAGCATGTAAATATTTTTTGATATACCTGATATATGACTCACTGATAAATTAATTTTCCTTGATATGAGGTGACTATTGGCAAAAAGGCTATTCTCATACTACATCCAGCTTAAGTGCAAGCCTGAGATGGAAATGAAGTGAGTTTTTAATCTGGTCCAAGGAACTCAGAGAACGTATCATCCACCCCTAGTCGTGAGACAATTTCTTCCCCTTCCTCTCACTGATGAGAGTGCAGGTGCTCACACACGCGGCTACCTCTCTGCTAAAATGATGCCACTGCATGGGGTAACTTCTCTCCATTTCTACATGCTAAAGTCCTGCAGACACCTCATGGTACCACACTATCTAGAAGGTAAATGGGTAAAAGAGATATCTCTTTTGCTGTCAGCAGCCTAGGAGCTGGGGCCTAGACAGAAACTGTTCTTTTTCCATAATTATAAGCACAGCTGTGACAAGGCAGAGAGGCCCTGGAGAAGGTGCACCACCATCCTTCCCTTACAGAGCCTTGCTTCCACCCCAAACACAAAACTGCTGTCATCTCTCTTCCAGGAAACTTCCTATCATTCTTTAACCCTCCTTGGTACTAACCACCTGATACTGTGTGTTGGGGTTCTGAAAATTCATATATGTAACTACCCCATCAACAGAATGGCTAAAATGAAAAGGACAACACAGAGTGTTTCTAGACTATCACAGCAGGCATTCTTATATCCTGCTGGGGGTAGTGGGTGTGCCAACAACTTTGAGATTCATCTGGCAATACCTATCAAAGTCAACACAGCCACACCCAGTGATCCCACAGCTAAATTTTTAGGTCTATGCCCAACAAAAAATGACATATGCCTATTCATAAGACATTTATGGGAATAAAAACAGTTTACAATTGCACCAGTAATTGTAAAATCTGAAGACTAGAAAACCCAGGTATTCATCAGCAATTTCACAGATAAGTACAAAGCAATGAGAATAAATAACTTGCTGCGTGCCCAATGTAGAATGAATTCCACAAATATTACTGAGTGGGAAATATCAGACACAAAGGAAGCTAAAAGAAATTGGCAAAACTGATTTTTGAAGTTGTTGAATTAAGAGAGTGGAGACAATGGTCAACTTTATGAGAAGACAGTGTCAGAGAATTCAAGGGCAGCTACTGGGTGTTGGTAATGCTGTTTCTCAATGTGGGCGCTTGACACAAGCTATGCAACCTCTATTGACAGACACGATATGGGTGGAGGGGAAATGCTCTGAAAAATCAGACTTTCCACGCTAACTTATGTTATGACCTCCCTTTTTTTGTATAATCATAATATCAAAATATTCTGAGCAACCTTCAGCTTACAATTGGATTGCCTCAGCTTCAGGAGGGGCTACCTGGCCCTGACAAGCAAGTACTGCACCAGGGAGAGAAATTCCTCTTGAAGTCAAAAGTCATTAAACAACTGGCTGATAAATAAAAACAAATGGCGGTTTCTACAAAGTCTCTCTTACCGCCAGACTGAGGAAAACCCAAATCTTATCACTCTATCTCACACAGCCTTCTATTCAGTTTCTAAATAACCACTCAAACTTCCTACAATCTAGTCTTTGGATATGGAAATTCACCCAAGTCCCCTATGCAGAGCTAATCAGGTTTTCAGGGACTTTATTTTGGTTAATCTTCACTGTAGTAAATATAGTAATATTAGTCTTAAACTTTGTGAATCTATGTACTTGTTTTAACCTTGATAGATTAATTTTAAAAATGTTATAATCCCAACTAAAGGTCAAAAAGACCCCAGACGGTTCTTAGCAAAAAGGTGATTGTGATCTCAGCCCATTTCATATGCTAATGTCATCCCTCTGCCTGCCTGAAGTGTGTAAAATAAACCTCTGCTAAAGACAGAACAGGAAGACTTGCACCCAACTCCCATTCCCGTGTCATCCTTGAACCCGCTCCCCTTTTTTCCCTTTTCCCCCTTTTTCCCCTTTTTCTAGGAATCTCCGCTCGCCGACGCCATTCCCACTTTGAGACCCTGCCTGTTCTACCCCCCAATAATCCGTGATCGGGGACAAAGTCTCCGACAGCTGCTACTGGCAGGAATGAGTTTACTTTGTGAAAACTCACCAAGCTCTACACTTAAGTTTTGTGCGCTTTTCTAAATGCATATTACACTTCAACAAAGTTTAAAAACAATGACATTTGATCTATATTCATTAACTAAATTCTGTGAACGTACATAAACTCCATTTTCACATACCCAATGCCTCTTCACACTGTGCCCTTATTTATCAGATGCTTAATAAATACTTGTCCAACCAAAAGACTTGCCTATTTTCAAAACATATTTGCAGTGTTCTCAGTTCCAAGAATCCAGTGTGTTACTAGGGGATCTTGAACTTCCATCTGCTGATTACTGGCCCAAATTCAGGCCACTGGTGGATCACACCAGGTTTTCTGAATGAGTCACTCAGTCTCTCTCCCCATAGTTTATCCCATAGAATGCTTCATCTCTTAAAAAAAAACAACAACATGGTGTCTATCCCACCATGTTGTTGTTTTTAACAACCTTCGGTGATTATTCTTGGTTTAAAATCATAAGGTTGCAGCTCTTGGACTGACTTTCCGTGGCTTCAACAATTTTGTCATGACTTTCCTGCTTCTCCAGATCAAGTCCTACCCAAGAGTGAGGTGGAGAGACACCTGTGCTCCCTTCACGGCCCTGCATAGCGTCTGGCCCCATTCCTTTTGTCCTTTTGTCCCCCAGCCCTACAATCTTCATCTCAGAACATTCTTGCTTCA